CGAGGTGAGTTCGTGAAACCCTAACGTTAGAGTAGGCAATAAGGTTGAAATCTACGTTCGTATTTGTCATGTGGATTGATTTGCACTAAAACCTATTTGCTATGATCATTCGGGAATTGTTGGGTTCTGATGGAAACAATGGGTAGGATTCGCGTTTTATAACCTATGTTAAAATTTACGTGATTATGTGATATTCATTACGTGTTTTAACATCGTGTTTAAACGTGGGAATTGGGTAATGGTTGTTGGATGCTGAGCGGGGAACGAGCTGGTGCAGGAACTTGAACTGTCGCGGCAAACGGTAGGTCGGTACCGCCGGGACGGTACCCTGGTACCGTCACTTCCCTCGTTTCCACCTCTCACTGACGGCATCTGTCTCCAACCGGTACTCCGGTACCGGAAGGACGGTAGGCCCTACTGCTAGGTCGGTAGCGGCCACCGTGACAGGGTACCGTGCGAAGGTACCCGGCATGCCAGACGGTACCCACGTACCGTGGGTTGGTACCTTGGTACGGTGGGGACGGTAACCCGCTACGAGTAAGGGTACCGTAAGGTACCAGAACCAGACAGCAGACCAGATTCCGCCAAGGACGGACTCCGAGGCTTGTGTGTATTGCATGACGGGAAGTCAGGGGTGTTAACACCCCAGACCAACCACTAAATGATATATCTCTGTTACCAGGTGTTGACCCTCCGAATGTTAATTATGTGATATATATATATGTGCATATTGTTCATGATGTTGCAAGTACGAGTGGGCTGATCCAGCGCCCAGCAAAGAGGTACCACATGTTGATCCAACATGTTGGGTAAGATAAGCCTACCCAGGGGGAACCCTTGGGATGGTCTCAATTATAGGGATTTAGAGTGTAAACCAGGTGGATGCCTGCTGGGCTCCAATGGTTAAGTCAAACCGGGTAAAAACGTACGTACGGGTGTCCTTGAACTACCTGGTGATCCATCAGGTGGGGATTCCACCCACCCAACGGAGAACTCCTTCGTTGGTTGAGCATGACCCGCTGATCCAGTGGGAACCCTCATGTCTCCCATACAGTAAAGTTAAAGTCCTTAGACTAGAATAGGTATAGGGACAGGGTTTGTTGATCCACCAAGCACGATAAAACTCACAGGTTGGAGGTGAATGGAACATTGAAGCGCCAGGTACATCGAGTGAATTTCTCTGTGTATGTGTGAACTTCGTGTTGGGTGCATGATGTCTCTTGATTATTGTGAATTGTGGATTCCTTTGATTGTTTACTTGATGTTAGTTATATCTCACTCAGCGTCAATGCTGAGCGTGTAGTTGTTTGTGAGCTACACGCAGGTAACCAGGTAGAAGATGAATCTAGAGCCGATCCCGGAAGAAGATGAGGACGAGGAGATGTGGGTGGAATTAATGGAGGATTTGGAACTCCTAATTATTTATGAATAACTTAATAAGTTTTCGGGCATGAGTCCCAAGCTGCATTTATTTACTTATCAGGCTTCCGCACTATTTTACGTTTACTCTAATGTTCGATTTTTGATGAACGGTTGGATGTTTTCTTAAATTGTTTGAAAAATAGCGTACGTTAGATACCGGAAATGGTGGCAACCCGACTCGCTAACCCGTTGGTCCGGGTTGTGCGGGTTGGGGTGTTACATGGTGTTCGCCCAAACCAAAAACCAAGCCATCCGGCGTTCGGGTTTCAGAAACCGGCGTTCGGCATTCGGTTTTCGGCGTTGGTTTTTGGCGTCCGAACTAACCAAGTGGTTTTCAATTTTTTATGACTGGTTTTTACTTCTGGGCACATTTAAATAGTTTTTCATCAAAAACCACCTTTCGTTTTTTGTCGTTTGATAAAAACCACGCGAAACAGCATAAACTTGGCTAGCCGTGGTTTTTACTTAAATGAAGTGGTTTTCAAGTCTTTTTGTGTGGGAATTGTTTTTGATTGCATTTAAATGGTTCTCCAATCAAAAAATCATGAAAACCACCTTTCGGTTTTGTCTTTTAGTGAAACCACCCGTGTACGGTGTTGACTTGGTCAACCGTGGTTTTTACCTTAACGACGTGGTTTTCAACTTACAAAGCTTTTTTTGACATCATAATACATTAAATAAGTGTTTTAAATACTTAGTTTTTACTTTAGAGAACTTAGCATTTTTCGGTCGGGTTTCAGCGCCGGTCAGCTAGGCCATGGTTCTGGGCTAGCCATCTACCCAGCGATGGTAGATTTCACCCATGCATGGGTAAGTGATCCCGGGATTCTAGAATCATTTCACCCAGCGATGGGAGATATTACCCATCGATGGGTAAGCAGCCTTCAACCCAATTAAATTCCAAAACCATGCCAAACAGCGATGGGAAACTCTACCCATCGCTGTTCAAGCCTTGGTCCAACATTATCACAAGGAAGAATGGCCTTACCCAGCGATGGGAAGCTTTACCCATCGATGGGAACCCAGTGATGGTAAGGCTAAACCATCGATGTGAAGGCATGACCGTTGGAGGTCATTTAAGGTTGATTCTTTCCTTGTTTGGAAGTCAACCTCCCACCCAGTGATGGGAAGCTTGTACCCATCGATGGGTAGGTAACCGTTGGCTTCAAAACTGAAGGAAAATTGGCTTACCAGCGATGGGTAAGTTCCAAACATCGATGGGAAGCCAATATATTCTGCAGATCCCAAATCTTTTCAATCCCATAAATCAAGCCAATCACCCCTTTAATGCATTGGTCTGTTGGAGCCTATTTTGGCACTATAAAAAGGGGTGTTTGGGTCTGCTTTACACACCAATTCACTTCACAATATTAATATTATCATTGCATCCAAATCACATTATTTTCATAGCTTTCTAGAGCCAATTTGTGTGAAGTTTGAGTTGTTCCTGAGCGTATATATTTTACTCATATCCACTCTTAAAGAGAGTTTTGTTCTTGAGTGTTTAAGTGTTGTATACACGTTAAGGGAAGCTTGTGTCCCTTGGTTGTACGTAGGAAAGGTATTTTCCTTTGGGTTGAAGTCTTGGAGTGCGGTATCTCCGAGCAAGTGTGTTGAGGCTCGTGGGACTCGAGTTCTCAGGTTGTAACGGTTTGTTAAGCACCCGTAAGCTTAACGGAAGTAGTGTAGCTCGAGAGAGTCTCTACGCTTTGTGGTGAACCAGTATAAATCTTGGTGTGCTCCCTTTACGCTTTCTACGCTCTTTATTTTTCACGTTCTTAATTTTTTAATTCCTGCGATTTCTACGATCAAACGCTATTCACCCCCCCTCTAGCGTTGGTCACTTATTCTAACAATAACCGGCGACAAGCTTCGACGAGCCCTTAACGACCGCGGCCAGCATGGCGGTCCAGGTAGACAAGCCACTCTTCTAGCTCCGGCAACTCCTCCCTTCGCCGCCGAGCCACGAACCGCGGGGATCTTTCCGGCGAGCAGCGAGCACGCGGTAGGGGGACGCCGGCAGTACCCTCCATTAGGGTCGGTGAGTATCCTCCCAGACCGGCGAGCCCTCTAGCGTACTTCATCTCTGGCGGTATCCAGCGGCGAGCCATACCATTAGCAATTGTCCACTCCGGTGAACCTTGGCCCGAAAGAAGCAAGCTCCCACTTCCTCCGGCGAGCCACGGATAGAAGCGGCGGCCCTCCGACGAGCTCCCACTTGCTCCGGCGAGCCGCGGATGGCAGTGGCGGCCTTACGACGAGCTCCCACTTTTTCCGGCGAGCCGTGGATGGCAGCGGCCGCGATTTCTCTCGTTTGTCCATCTAGCTCCCTTTGCTCAGGCGAGCCTCATCGACAACAAGCGGGCCTTCATCTTCAACGAGATCCAGCGAGCTCCAATTTCCTCCGCCGAACCATGGACGGATGTGGCGGGCCCCTCTTCGCGGTCCTCTCTAGCAGCCCTCTCCGCGATCCTTTTCGGAAGTCCCCTCCGGCGGTCCTCTCCGCGGTCCTCTCCGGCGGTCCTCTCCGGCGGTCCTCTCCGGCGGTCCTCTCCGGCGGTCCTCTCCGGCGGTCCTCTCTCCGGTCCTCTCCGGCGGTCCTTTCCGCGGTCCTCTCCGGCGGTCCTTTCCGCGGTCCTTTCCGACGGTCCTCTCCGTGATCCTCTCCGCGGTCCTCTTCGGCGGTCCTTTCCTCGATCATCTCCGGCGGTCCTCTCTGCGGTCCTTTCTGACGGTTCTCTCCGTGGTCCTCTCCATCAGTCCTCTACGCGGTCCTCTTTAGCAAGCCATGGATGGATCTATCCTCAAGAGGACTGCTCCAGCTTTAGAGGTCCCAAAAGTGGACAGATTTATCCTCTAGTGGACCGCTCTATCTTCATAGGTCCTTCATATGGACAGATTTGGCCTCCAGTGGACTGCTCTATCTTCATAGGTCCTTCAAATGGATGGATTTTGCCTCAAGTGGACCGCTCCATCCTCATGGCTCCTTCACATGGATGGATTTGGCCTCCAATGGACCGCTCCAACTTCATGAGTCCCTCAGATGGACAGATTTGGCCTCCAGTGGACCGCTCTATCTTCATAGGTCCTTCACATGGACGGATTTGGCCTCCAGTGGACTGCTCCAACTTGATGGGTCCCTCAAATGGACGGATTTTGCCTCAAGAGGACCGCTCCATCCTCATGGCTCCTTCACATGGACGGATTTGGCCTCCA